CCATCAGATACTCATTTAGAACAGGTAAATCTTCTCCCTCTCGTGTTTTGCTTCGAGTCCCTGTTTTGGCACTCAGTTACAAACGTCAGAAAACTTAGAGCCTCTCTGGTTCTGTTACCTGAATGTGCCTTGGCATTTCACAAATCAGTTTTCATATCCCTTAGCTCATTTACTCTTCACAATTACCCTAAGAGTATTGTTTGATTAAATTATCTTGTAAGTCTTAATTTGGATAAGTCTTTTTTCCCCCAGACTGACAAAATGGGCACATTTGCCAGTTCATTTAAGAAAGGGAAGAATAGTTCCTTTTTACAAAGGAAGAAAATGAGGCTCACAAAGATTAAATAACTTGTCTGAGGTGTTATAAAGATCAAGAGTGATAGCACGTGTTGTGGAGCTTTATACATTGTAAAACATCGTATAAATGCAAAGTTTTCTTGATTACTAATAAAATGCTAAATTACTGGTGATACAGCAAATTTGGTAAATGTCTTAAGAGAAGTACAAAGTATACAGAAATACAGAGGTGAGGAAGTCGATTTAGTTAGGGATGATAAGGATCTTGGAAGAAGAGGAGGATTTTAAAAGATGGAGAGAATGATGGAGGACCAGCTTCTCCATCTCTCATTCTGGTCCACTACTTTTGTATTGGTCCTTGATACAAAGTGGACTTGAGTGATCCTTTCTTAGCATTTCCAGGTAATGGCTAGAGATTTCCTCTAATTGTGATAGACAGATATCATGCGCCTTTCATAAGAATATGAAACTTTTGGGACACAAACCCAAAAATTTACCTTCCTCCTCAGCATAAAAAACCATCCAAGCTGCCCACAAAAGCTCATACCATACCAACTGTCTCATGCACAAGAAAGGTTAGAGAACAAGAGTGTGCAGAATGATGAACTTCAGAAGCTTCATTGACACTTGGGCAAAGCCAAAATAAGTGTTCCCAAATCAGGGAACCAAAACCAAAAACAAATCCCCTAAATGACGGTGCAATGAAAATTAGCTCAGACTCAGGTCGCTGGAGTATGCTGCTTGAAAATCACCCTGCATGCTGCAGCCTGAGTAATATAGAAAGGGTCTCATAGAAATCTGGGGATATTTGGGAGGAAGTCCGTGGCTAGTGTGGAAAGCTGGCTTTGAAAAGAGAACTAATAGAATGGAGCCTTTTATTTCAGTCATGTTAGATCACTTTATTTCTCAAAAATCCCTGGTGAGATTTAGTTGGATTGGACTAAAATGGATCCTTGCAAACTTCTTGAGTTACTGTGAACCAGGGTATTGTCTAGATTTAGGAAGAAGAAGGTAGTACAGACATCTCCACTCTGACGCAGCTATTACCCACATCCAAAAGATCAGCCATTCTTCTACAGTTTGGTGTCCTGAAAGCCACCCCAATACTATCACAATGATGCACACGATATGTGCAATTTCAATTCTGACTCTTGCACAGAGACAGCAAGACAGAGGAATTAATTTTCTAACAAAATCCAGTTGAATGGATGTGAGGGTGATCTGGCAGCGACATCTGTCACTCCCACTGATTGCCACAGTTAATTTGGCTGATCTGGCTGGCTAGGAAGGTGTCCCCTTCCTCCCTTACCACTCCACGTGCATCATTCCTAAAGCTGCAGGCTCGGTTGAAGAGGACAACCTTCCTGGAAAGAAGAGTACCACTTTGGGCAAGGGTATATGAATAGTTGCGCTCCCCTGCTAGAACCTCCAAACAAGCTCTGAAAATCAAGTTGAAGAGTATACAAAGTATATTTCAGTTTAATGATCTTTGAAATTACCTGAGGCAAAGTCTAGCAGTTGCCAACTTGACTCGGCCTGAATGGAATGCACTCAGAGACTCAGTCCTTGTCTCCTCCATATCCCAAGTGTTACACTGTCGCTAATAACGTGTCATCATTATTTGATTAAGTGATCAAGTCAGTTTTAATTTGCAATAGTCTTCTTTCTCCAGACTGGCAAAGTATTTTCCAATTCTTTTAAAGGGCTGTTGTGAGGGCTAGTGAGATTATGTTTGTGCAGGGCTTTGAGCTCCTGCTAAGCAGAATACTGAGCAAATACTGGGTGTAATCACTATTTAACCTGAGTGACATTCTTTTTAACAGTTACTCGTGAGTAATGGTGTCATGAAAACTAGGCCTGAAACAGGAACAGTTGTGAACTATCCAGCCACAAAAGTGAGTGAGTTAATGCTTCTTTGTTTAAAAAAGGAGTCACAGAAGTAGATCTTGCCAGTTCGCTCTGACAGTTATGAATAAGCTATGTCACATTTAAGTTCAGATCACTGAGAGGTCCTTTACATGGTGGGCTGGAGAGAGACCACCTTCTCTGCCTGAATGGCCAAGAGAGAGTATTCGGGCAATATCCCAACTTGGGCAGCTCTCCCAAGATAGTAGACAAAAATTAGAAGAAATGGAGCTGATTCCAGCTCCCTTAGTAACTTTACAATCTGTTGAAAATATAAGAAATCTTTGTTTCACCAACTGCAGCATTTGAATTCAAAAGTGAGGAGCGATCTCTCCTAGGTCCCAAAATCTGCCCCATGGGCTGCAGTGGCCATAAAGGAAGGGGATGGGGAGAAAGAGAACTGAGTCACTAGCAGGGAATAATTCGTTTTGAGTCTGTGGGTTTGGGCTATAAAGATCCAACCTCTTTGTGTAGGACTCACTCGAGTCCACAACTTATCTCCAGGGTCTCCCTTTACCTACTTCCTTGCGCACTAGTCCCTCCCCCACACCACCCCTAAGGAACGCTGTCCTGGAATAATGGCGTCAAAAGAAACTCCTAAAGTTTCTCCCATGGCAGGACAGCTAGATGGTGGAGCGATGGCTGCCAGAGACGTAACCTAAGAGGACTACCAGGGGAAGAACCTACAACAGGGTACAACAGGAAAATGCCATGTCCAGAATTTTTTTTTTTTTTTACCACTTGTTTTGAGTTGAAAAGGAAAACCTAACCTATCAAAGCAATACTATCATCTTTGTGCTGGCCTTGAACATGTGCCACTCAGGCCTCTGCAGGGAGTGTAGCTGACTGACAGTCCCAGCTGCTGTCCCTCTGGATCCCCCACCGTGTTCACATGGAGGACAAACCTCCTGCAGGTGGCCCACGGCCACTAACGAAGCGCAGAGGGAGTATGAAGGCAGGCCCAAGACATGTGTCCTCCAAGACATGCGACTATTCCAGTGGGTGACTGTGGCTCAAGGACCCTACAAGCTTGGCCAGACCTTTCTTGGAACAAGGAGATTACAGGTCATGGTCCCTATCCTCAGGGAGGCTTTCACTGACTAGGTAATAGGAGTCCCACAGATACAATGGTAGACAATAAGAGGAAGTGTATGCTCCTAACACCACACCATAGTTTCTCATTTACATGACTGTTTCCCTGTCTGTAACTCAGCGGGATCAGTGTTTTTAAACTGTAAGTCAAGCCTCATGAAGGGGCTGTGAAATCATAGTAGTGAGTCACAACCAGCATCATTTAAAATGAAATAGAAGAGATCAGATGGCAGCATACATAACAAAAACAAGTTTTATATTGTGAAACTTATCTATATAAACATACACACACAAATATATGTGTGTGATGGATTGTGATGTCAGATATGCTTCTCTCTAGCTCACTGTCAAGAAATTTTGAAAGCTACTGAACTAGACCATGTGCTTCTTGAGGACAGGGACAGTGTCCTTTTCCAGGGCTGTGTCCTCAGTACCTAGAGCAGTGCCTAACCATACACAGGGACTAAACACATGTTCGTTGACTGTGTGTGATGAATAACAAAAAGAGACAGTCAATTCATGGAGGAGGGGGACTCTGAGTTAGGCCTTGAGAAAAGAGCTGGGTTTAGAAAAATGGAGAGGAAGAGGAAGAGTATGCAGGAGACAGGATGTGAGCAGAGGATCAAAGGTCAGGATGCTCATGATGTGCTAGGGAGATTGAGCAGATGGTTAGATTGGCTAATTTCCATCAATGTGGAAAGAAATTAGGTAGGAAGAAAAAGTTGGCCAGGGATTGATATCAGAATGACCAGCAAGCTTCTCCAGTATGATTATTTGTAATGATAAAGTGACAAGATAATAATGATAATGATAAAATCATACCCAACACTTATACAAGGCATCTTTCAAAGGTCTCAAAGCATGTTAAAATGCTGCATTACTCACTCTCAATGATTCTGTGAGGCAGGTACAGGGAAGTGTCATCATCTCCATTATGCAGGTGGTGAAACTAAGATAGAGGCAGTGAGAGAGTCTTAATCCCACACCCCTGCGGTGAGCCAGCCGTGGTTCTTGGTCTGAAATGTAGCCGTTCCATTTAGGCTGCCTTTTCTAGGACCAATTCTCCTTGGTAATGTGTGGGGAGGGTCCAAAGTCCCATTCTCTGTAATTCTGTAGATGTTTCTTTTCCAGGCAGCTAAGCATAACTAGACTTAAAGCCATGTCTCCATTTTGTCCCTTGGTAAGGTGGACGGGTTATATATTCTCTTTTAGTGTTACAGATATTTCTCACTGATGCCTAAAATGCAACCTTTGTGTCTAAAGGGAAAAGAGCCAAATGGCACAAAGGTCTTAAAGTCAATTTCTGATCTACTATAGGTTCATTCTATTAATCTACTGAAATCTTCTGACTTTGAATTCCACTCATCTCTCTCTCTCTCTCTCTCTCTCTCTCTCTCCCCCCCTCTCTCTCTCTCCTCTCCCCTCCCCTTTGTGCTGTTTGTGCTCTACCCTACCACCCCCAACACCAATAAGACATGATGTATAATAATCTCAGACACCAGTTACCAAATCTAGTGAAGGCAACTAAATGGCCCACAAACCTCCTCAATTAAAGCTATTGCCTTTAGTTCTCCATAGCTCAGAGTAGTAGACTGGACCTCCTTAAGTACCATTTTACTTACTCTGAGAGAAGATGTGAAGGTCAGTTATGGTTTCTCCTGATATACTCAGAGCTGAGTTGAATGGTGGCCCAAATTTTGACCCCTTCAGGGTCAGCTGAGCTTTGCAAGAGATTCCTGGTCATACTGTACATTTTTATGCTTTGCAAGGCCATTCAATATTCCTTTCATTGATTGGACGAAGACCTCTATTGTGCCAGGCTCATTCATGTTAAGTCAACAAGATGTGTAATGTATTGATCGGCCATGGCTTGCACTTCACTTCCTAGCTTTCCCTGACCAAATTGGCCATGCTTGACATCAGAAGGGCATCATAATGTATCAGGAAGAGCATGAATTCTCAAGTCCTGCAGACCTGGGTTTTCAGTCCCCGGGATGATGATGACAATGATAATATATTCATTTATTGAATGCTTACTATGTTCCAGGTACTATGCCTACTGGCTGCGTAACCATGAACTTGGCCTGTAGGTGACTTCTATGAATCTCAGCACATTGCTTTAGTCTTTCTATACAGTGCCTAGCAGAGTCCTAGACACAGGTACATGCTCAGTTAGTGCCTGTTGACCTGATTTGACTGAACCTGCCTATAGGACACAGCAGCAAGTTTAAAGTTGCTCCTTCTAAGCTGTATCTAGGTCAAAGCCATCAGTGAAAAAAACGGACACTGGCTATAGGAATGGTTTCTGTAGTAGTTGAACACTAGTTGTCACTTTTTTTCCTCTCAAATGAAATCCTCCTACTTGATAGAGCACTCTCTGGCGTTGAATGGACTTATAGCCTGGTGTGGTATTGGTGGGTGGGTCACACTTCTCAGGGCGAACTCCTAAAGATTATATCAGGGCCTTGTTCCTCCCTTATGACACCCATAGTGGCTGGCATGGGAGGAAATGGAAAACTGAAAGAAACCACCCATGTCTCTAAAGCCTAAGAAGGGAGAGGGGGATCCCTGTGGGTTTCTTTTATGGAAAGGGCAGTGGAGGAAGTGAAGCAGTGCAAGGTCCTGTGGCTACTGCCAGGTTGACAGCATGGCCGCTCCCTTCTTTGCTAGCTCTCCTGCTCCTATATCCCAAGATCTGACTACTTGCAATTTCCTGTAAGTGCCTGCTTTTTTTTTTTTTTTTTGCCCCTGGTCTTTTGTACATGCTATCACTGTCTTCCTAGAATGCCCTTCCCGTGCATGACTTCCAGCTACTTATTTTTCTGGGCTCGGCTTGGTACCAAATCCCCTCCTCTTGTAAATCTTCTTCCTCATCACCATTCCAGACTATGTCCTTCCAGTACCTTCCCCCATTCTATTACATCACATGTAATATTGTAATTGTTAATTCACATGGCTGTCTCCAGGATGATGATGACAATGATAATACAGATGTCATCTATTGAGAGCTTAGCATGTTCCAGGTACTACACTTTATGTCATTAACTCTCGCAGTGAAGTAGAACTATTATTCCCATTTTATAGATGTGGAAAATGAACTTCAGAGAGGATTTGCACATACTTATATAGTTAAATATAAATGTGCACAAATTAGTTAAAAATAATATGCACAGGGTCAGGATTAGAACATCGATCTGACTGACTCAAAGTCTGTGATTTTGACCACTACATCATGGCACCTCCCATTAGGCTGTGTACAGCTCGAAGGCAGGGACCACGTCTCTCATCTCTGTGTCCCTATTGTCTAGCACAGCACCTAGGATGCAGTAGCTGTTGGTAGGTGCTCAACAATGTGTTTGATAAATCAGTGAACGCATAGCTATGAATTGCCATCTCAGCCACACTTAACTCAGTCCTATATTTCTTGGCTCTGGCTATCCATTTGGGATGACCAGTTAAGCCTAAAATGAAAAGACAATTCAAGGTCAACTGCGAGAAAATACTTTGTAACTTGGCTGTGAATATATTAGACATGACTGAACTGGGCTGAGTTACTGGGAGACGTAACAGGTCAATTCCTTTGGCCAAGGAAGAAATGGACATAGATAAATTGTACTAACTCCCATGAACTCCCACAAAGGGCTTAACAGAGCTTGCTATTCTGCTGAGGCAGGCCCTTAGACAAATAGCTTGGCCTTGTTTGCACAATAAACAAATGGTTCCTAGTATAAGCTAAGCTTTCCAGCCAGGCAAAGATTGCTTGGAAAATAGGTTTGGGCCCAGAACTAATCGGAAGGAGTTTCTCTGTTGGGGTGGGAGGGAAGAATAGGTCACTTTTGATGAAAATGATAAACCTGAGGAGAAGGGGCTGTTAACCCATCCCTGGCCACATGAAGAT